GAAAACAAGTTCGGTACAAATTTCAATCGAGAACGTATGCGCTCGAACGTTTTTTTTTCTCAGTATGTGTTTGGATATTGAGCGGTGGTCGTTTTTTAGAAGAAATGAATCTGAAATTTTGTGTCCAAAGCGCCTCACGAGGTGTGAGAATCATCTATTGTTTTATCGAACATTTGGTCCATTGGCGTCGACGCCGTTAAAGGTTTATCCAGTCGATTCTCATTCCTCGTTCGATAGAGGAATAATAGCTCTCGGTCCATGCATTCGTTTATTTCTTTATTTGGTCCCGTCCCTCGGCGATTTTGTTTATTAAACTGCTCTCGAAATTCAGGGTTTCTAGGTCAGTCGGGATTTATCGCGAATTGAGCTTTGGTTTCGCCATAATTTTCGTAAATATTAATTCTTTCCGTGTAATGGTGATTGGAATCTCAAGGTTTTCGATACAACGTTATATTGCGAATTTCACACCTAGTGTGCAGATTTGAAAACATTTATTTCTATTTTCCATATTTCAATAGTCTAATATATAATAGTTTATATCATTGAAAATGTCGTACTAAAATTTTATTTTCAAATTTCCCGCGCATCATTCCTACCAACGGTAAAGCGAAAATCCCGCAAACGATTTTTCTGGGAATCCCCCTTATTTATGGTTCATGGAAATCGCATGTGGCTGGTGTATTCAGATAGGCGAAGAATTTTTACGGTTGGATAGATTTTGCCAAGCAGTCGACAATTTTCACTGAGTGACACGGTAATTTTCCCCGAAGGGTTAAAACACAATGCAGTTACCCAGTGGTTAGGTAATTTTTACTGACTTTTTCCCTGTGTTATTGGAGAATGCAATTCAATAATGCGATTACAATAATTCAACACGAGTTGTTTACAAGATCTTTGAAATGTGCACACACGTTAGCATTTGTTGAATAGTGGGTAGCGGTTGTGGTGACCTTCGAATATATACGACCCACTATTTAAATATTCCCTTTGAGACTGGATGCACACCGAGAACTTCGTTCTTGCAGTAATGGACTTAGCCTGGGTACTTCTGCCCAATTTTCGGTTATAATTGCAGGTAACTACTCTAATATACTAATAACTAATATCAGACTCGAGCGGAATCAAGCATAAAATTTATTCACTCACACGGAGAGAAATATTCAAGAAAAATTACAGAAAATTTCATGTAATCCGCAAACGATAGTGGACTTTAATGAATTTTTATGGAAAGATAATAGAAAAATCTGAAACGTTCGGTAAATTTTCGAGTTTATCTCTGAAAGATACATAATTAATAAAAAGTTACACAATTTTCGCGGAAAATGTGAAATTTAATATCAATGTTACGAATCACATTGTGTCCAAGAATTTTTTCTCTGTGTAATTATGTAAAAAATAAATTGAATGGGAGACTAGGTCCTATATTCATACCAGCCGCATCCCCGTGGCAAACCCTTGGTAACACTAAGTGCTGGTGAGGTTAGTACACGAGGAGAAATATTCAATAAAAATTACGTATCTCTTCCGTAACTCCAAAGCAAAATATGGTTATAGGAAATTTTACGGAAGTTTCACGTCATTTTTACCTAAACTCCCCGAATTTTTCCGCGACGTTCCGTAATTTAAAAATTTTTCGAGTCGAAATATTCCGTAATCGGTAAGCGAACCGAAAGTTCCGTCATTTTTCCTAAATATTTCTCTCCGTGTGATACCTTACCACATGTTGAATTGAATTAAACGTAAATTATAAGAATTACAAAATGAAAGACTCGTCTGTGTTAAATAAAGTAAAATTTCTTGTTTCATACGAAAAGAGCACAATTCCGATAATCATCTGTTAAAGTTGAACTGAAGCATTCGTGGTTTATTAAGAGCACCTCCTCGGGTTGCCTCATTGGTATGAATCATACTAATTTGACAAGAGCGAACCGACAGAGAAAGTCATATTTTCTTCTCTCAAATTATTTTTACCCTTGGTTCCACTATTATCTTATGCATTCTGTTTCCATCGACTTGCAGATTTAATTGGGCTGGAATTTTGGTGCTTTATCGTTCCAACTCGCAATTTGTCTGTCTCAGACTTCGAATTTCCTCGAGTTTTCTTTTCTCACAACATAATCTTAGCCTCCATATTGTCAAAAACGTAGGCAGCAATATATATTTTTTTATTTCTAGATTTCCGCGATTTTTCTTATCACCATAGTATTTTCATGGTTTAATAGGCAGCCCTTCGTCTTAGCCTTTAGCCTGTCCTATTATCCTCTCACTTTAGCCTCTCCTACTATCCTCTCATTATTTTTGCGGTGTCATGGCTTGACTTTCTTTACTGCACCCGTTTCACTTGTACTGAGGGAAACCATGGAAAACCTTAGTAGATGCAGCAATATATATGTGCATATAATTAATATATCTCGTCGTATACATATCGTCCGCCTGAGGGTTGAACACTAATTTCGTCATAGTGACTATGATATAGTCCCGAGGTTCCTCTCATAGAGTTTCCTTTTCTCCTCGTGAAATCTCTGGATGAATACCCACTGAAATGTTTGAATAATTTATTGAAATCTTCTTCGTGCTTTGAATTTATTTTCCAACATCATTTCCACGATCTTGCACTCTGCTGAACACAACTGTTAGACCGAGCAGATTGATTGTATTGCAAACAAGTGATTCCAACTTGCGTTTCCTGATCAAATATCGATGCTCAGAATCAATAAGACAGTACTGGCTCCGATTTTCGATACTTTTCATTCAAGATACGTCGTGCGTCCCACGCACGCTTTTTCGCGATTTTTCGCGAACTGGCGTGTCAGATTCAGTCTTATTTCATTATTTCACGAAAAATGTCGAACAAAAATTTTGCGATACAACAACCTGTCTCCATAGCGTGGAAATGTCAGATAATCAAGCAAAAATCCATTCTCTCAAACCATCAATTATCATTTGCCATAAAAATCCGATTTTCTGAATTTTTAAGACAAATCCGTCGTTGATTGAACGTTTTTAGATAAAATTGAATTCAAACTC